ACAGAAAAAATACTGAAGAGACATGGAGAGACGAGGAGAACAAAAAAAAAAAAAAAAAAAAAAACAGAAAAAAGAGACAGAGCGGGAAAAAGGAGAAGGAGAGACAATGATAGAGAGAACATAACCCTTTCCCTTAGAACGTCCATCACATCAAAACACATATTGTAAATCAGATTACAAACTTTCGTTCCCTCTCTTCTTTCCTTCCTCCTTTTCCTTCCCTTTCCTCTCCCCCCCCCCCTTTCCTCTCCTTCCTTCCTCCTTTCTCCCTACCTTTCACCGCTTTCCTCCCCCACCTTTCTCCCTTCCCGTTGTCCTTCCTTCCTTCTTTCCCTCCTTCCCCCCCCTTTCCTCCTACCCTTCCCCTTCCCCCTTTTCCTCCTCCCTCTTCCCTCTCTCCTCCTTTCCTTCCCTTCCCCCTTTCTCCTTTCCCACTCCTTCCTCCCTTCCCACTCTCTCTCCTCCCCTCCCTCCCGCGACAAATACAATGTTTTTTCGGGCAAACTTTCGTTTCCTCCCTTCCTGTCCCCTCTCCTCCTCCTCTCTTCCCCCTTCCCCTTTTCCCTTCCTTCCTTCCTCTTTCCTCCTACCTTCCACCCGCTTTCATCCCTTCCTCCCCCCACCCCCCTTTGCTCCTTCCCTATATCAAATCCTTCCAAACCCCTTGCTCTCTCTCTCTCTCTCCAACTCTCTCTCTCTCTCTCCTCTCTCTCTCTCTCTCTCTCTCGTCTCTCTCTCTCTCTCTCTCTCTCTCTCTCTCTCTCTCTCTCTCTCTCTCTCTCTCTCTCTCTCCTCTCTCCTCTCTCTCTCTCTCTCTCTCTTCTCTCTCTCTCTCTCTCTCTCTTCTCCTCTCTCTCCTCTCTCTCTCTTCTCTCTCTCTCTCCCTCTCCCTCCTGCTCTCTCTCTCTCTCTCTCTTTCCTCTCGCTTCTTCTTCTCTTCTCCTCTCTCCGTCATCTCCTCTCTCTCTCTCTCTCCCTCTGCTCTCTCCTCAGTCTCTCTATCTCTCCTCCCTCCTCACCTCCCTCCCCCCCATTCTCTCTCTCTCTCTCTCTCTCTGTGCTCCTCCTTTTCTCCTTCCCTCTCCTACCCCCCCACTCCCTTTCCCCCTGCTCCCCCCCCCCGTCCAAACCCTCCTGCCCTCCGCCCCCTCCCCCTCCTTTCCTCCGTCCCTCCCTCCCCTCCTCGCACACATACTTACAATGTTTCTTTCGGGCAAACTTCGTTTCCTCCCTTCCTGTCCCTCTCCTTTCCTCCTTCCTTCCTTCCCTTTTCTCCCTACTTCCACCCGCTTTCCTCCCATCCCCCCCCCCCACCGCCCTTTGCTCCTTCCCCCTTTTTCCCTTCCTTCTTCCCTTTTCCCTCCTTCCTCCCCCCCCTCTTCCTCGTTCCTTCCTTTCCCCCTTTCCCCTTTTCCTCTTCCTCCCACCCCTTCCCCCCCCTTTCCTCCGGCCCCTCCCTCCCTCCTCGCACACATACTTACAATGTTTCTCTCGGGATGTCAAAGGTGGTGCAATAGTTGATGCCGATTATCCAATAAAAACTATCCACTTTCAGCATTGTACTCTCATAGTGTTCGTAGAGAGATCCACCTCTGAAGAAAGAAGGAGATAATGAGAGGAAGAGAGGAAGGAAGGAAGAAAAATTGCGATGTTGGATGATGAATGAATGATAATGATAGTGATGGATAGGTGATAGTAGGATGAACTGATAATATTAACAATGACTATGAATAATAAATTATTATGAAATGATAATGATAATAATTTATTATAATTATAATAATGATAATTAAATGATAATTATTATTAGATATAATGATAATGATAGTGATAACAATAATGATAATGATAACAATAATGATAATGATGAGAATAACAATAGTGATAATGATAATAACGATTATATCATTGCTATCGTCATTATCATTACCCAATCATATTATTACTAGTAACTGTAGCAGTATTAGTAACAGCAGGAGTAGCAGCATCATTATTATTATCATTATGAAGATAATGATAATGATAGTAATGATAGCAATGGTAACGATAGAATGAACCGTAATGATACCGGTAATAATAATAATCATAACAATGATTATAATAATGTTGATGATATTAGTAATGATAGCAATGATGATTATAATGATGGTTGTAGTGATTTTGGTGGTTATAATCATTATGACCATCAGCATCGTCATGGTGATAATGACATTAATCTAGAAAGTAGGGATGATAACAACAATATACATGATAATGATAACAATAATAATAAAAAAGATGAATAATAATAATGACGATAATTTAAAGATGAGATAGTGACAAATGATGTAATGTTAATGATAATAATAATAATAATAACATATAAAAACATGATGATAATAGTAATAAGTATCATTATCCTTATAATAATGAAAAATGAAAATTATGCCCATGATAACCATCTTTGAAAATTACAATTGTTCTCATCATCATAACTATGATCATGTCAACGGTAGTAGCA